CTCTCAGTTTCCTGTTCTTTGTCACCGCAAAAAGAATTGCTATAAATATTTTTGTACAAATAGGTCCTTTTCTTTTCTCTTTGCTCTCTTTGGAATACAGACCTAGTTCAAGTAGAATTTATTAAGCACTCGTTATTTGCCAGGCACTGAGCCAAGTGCTAAGAATACAAATATAAACAAGAAGAAAAACAGTCCCTACCCCTCAAGGAGCTTACGTTCGAATGGGGGGAAGATAGTGTATAAAATCAAGTTAAAAATGGTGTGTGTGTGTGTGTGTGTGTGTGTGTGTGTGTGTGTGTGTGTGTGAAAGGCACTCCTAGAAAGGGCATGGAGGAGAAATTCAAAGAGTCTGAAATAGAAATGGGAGAAAAGCAAAGGAATGAACATGGGGCTGGCCTGGCCACTTTCTCAAAAGGAAAATGGTGCAGTGGATAAAGGGATCCTGAATTCAGATGCGGCCTCAGACACATATTAGCTGTGTGACCCTGAGCAAGTCACTTAACCCTGTTTGCCTCAGGTTCCTTATCTGTTAAATGAGCTGGGGAAGGAAATGGCAAACCACTTCAGTATCTCTGCCCAGAAAACCTCAAATGGGGTCATGAAGAGTCGGACATAGCGGAACCACAACAATAAGGGACCCAGCTTTTATCTGAGTTTATAGCGTATTCTGCAGGTAAAAAGGAAAGTCCTTAAAGGAGCTCACTCTCATAGGCTCACAGAGGAATCTTTTACAGGTGAGGCCCAGAGAGATAAAGAGACTTCCCCAAAGTCACCCAGGTAGTAAGTGTGACAGACAGGACTCAAATCCAAGACCTCGGACTCATCTTTGTCTTTCCTAACACAGGACCTTCCTTAGACATCGTGTTTGTTGACCAGATTTCACAATGTTCCAGCCTAGAGGGATGACTTGGCTGTCTCAAATACTCCACATTCCTTTTTGAGCTCAGACTCTCCTAACCCTTTACTGACTTCAAGGCTCAGCTCAGGTGGTACATTTTCTGGGAAACTTTTCCTGAACCCCCTCCCCCTCTCAGTTTTTAGTGCTTCCTCAAATTACCTTGGATTGACCCGGGGGGGGGGTTGCTGGTAAACATTTAACAACTGGCTCTGGGAGGGGAGAGTACACAAGACTCACTTTTGAGTTAAATCTGCATTGTTTGTCATTTTCTCCATCACTTTCTTTAATTTAGAAAATCAACAAAACAATAAATGAAGCCCTGATTTGGAGTGTTTGAGGACTTGTGTAAAAGTTTGCTGAAAATCTAACAATTGGTTTAGGGAGTTTTCCAGCCCTAGGCAAATTATTTAACTCCTGTCTGCCTCAGTTTCCTCATCTGTAAAGTAGGGATAATATCACTTACTTCCCAGATATATACTATATCAAATTATATAGTATATGGAAAGGGCTTAAACCTTAAAGGAAACCTTAAACCTTTAAGGAAAACCTTAAAGCATTCTATAAACACTAGCTATTATTATGAAGATATCCTTTTTTTTTTAATGGGTCAGCACAGTGGATAGAACACTGGGTTTATAGTCAGGAAGACTTAAGTTCAAATTCAACCTCAGATACTTCCTAGCTGTGTGACTCTGAGCAAGTCACTTCACTTCTACCTGCCACCATTTCCTCAGCTGTAAAATGGGAACAATAACAGCACCCACCTCCCTGGGTTGTTGTGAGGATCAAATGAGATAATATTTATAAAGTTTCTAGCAGTGTCTAGCATGTAGTAGGAATTTAATAAATACCTGACACTGGCTTTAATGTTTGCAAAGCACTTTACATTGTTTCATTTGATTCCTACAACAACCTTGTGAGGTAGAACCTATTATTATCCCGATTTTACAGACAAGGAAACTGAGGCTGATGTGTTAAGAGACTTGCTTCCTGTCACGTAGAGTTTAAAGAAGGATTTGAATCTCAATCTTCCCCATTCTTTTTCTAGCACTCTATGCAATTTGTTTGAAAAAGATCTGAAGGCTTTAGTGGACTTCAAGCTCAATACAAACCATATTCCATGTGGCAGCCAGGAAAGTTAATCTGATATTGAACTGCATTTAGAAAGGCAGGGCTTCCAGGAATAGGGAGGTTAAAGTCCCTCTAGCCTGTCCAAGTCAGACCATATCTGGAATGGAGTGATTCAGCAATTAGCACAGTGCCTGGCACACAGTAGGCACTTAATAAATGTTTATTCACCGATTTTAATTCTGAGCAGCATGTTTTAGGAAGGACATTGATAAGCTGGGGAGTGTTCAGAGGAGATAATAGTGAAGGACCTTGAATTCATATCACGTGAAGATTAATTTAAAAGACTGGAGATATGTAGCTTGGAGAAGACTCATATGGGACATGATTTGAAAGGCTGTCGTGTGGAAGGGGGGTTATATTTGTTCTGTTTCCAGAGGAGAAAACTAGGAGCAATGGATCGGAGCTGCAGGGTGCGCTAGATGGATCGCTGTGCCTGTGGTCAAAAAAGACCAGAGCTCAAATCCAATCTCAGACACATACTAGCTGTGTGACCCTGGGCTAGTCATTTGACCTCAGTCTGCCTCCGTTTCCTCAGTGGCAAAATGGGAATAATAATAGCACCCACTTTTCAGGGTTATTGTGAGTATCATATGAGATAATATTTGAAAAGTTTCTGGCACATAGTAGGAGCTTAATAAATACTTGTTTCTTTTCCTTCCTCCCTTTCTTCCTCTCTTCCTTCTTCTCTTCATTCCTCTCTCCCTCCCTTCCTCCCCCCCCTTCCAATCTGAAAAGGAATTGTACTCCGAGGAGGTGGTGGATATTGGTACCTCCCTGGAGTTCTTTCATGGATGGCTCACTTGGCACAGGGATTCCCATTCAGGTATTATGAGTTGGACCAGATGGACCCCCTTCTTATTCTGAAATTCTTTCCCTCCTATTTGGGTCTGTCCAGTCATGCAGTTCCTATCATCTAGCCTATGAGAGTAGCATGAGAGAATTTGTCACATGCTTGGCTAAAATCCAGGTAAACCATAGTGTCATCATGCCCTAGACCTACTTATCTAATCAGCCTCTCAAAGGAAAAGAGGAAATGCCCTTAATTTAATATGTTCTAGAGTTCTGCTGAGAACTGAAGTCAAATGCACTGGCCTATGGCTTGCAGGCTCTAGTCTTCTCCTTTAAAGAAAAATTGGGACATTCGTCCTTCCTTTGTCCTGTGGCACCTCTTTCTTCACCATTTTCCAGATTGGCAGGTGCAACTATTCATAATAATAGCTAACAAGTTTGCAAAGCACTTTCAACAACTGATCTCCCCAACAAGTCTGGGAGGGAGGTGGTGTTGTTATCCCCATTTCACAGTTGAGGAAACTGAGGCTGAGAAAGGTGAGATGATTTGCCCAGCTTCACATAACTAGTAAGTATCTGGATATGAACTTAGGTCTTCTGGCCTTCAAGTTCCCTTCATCACCCAGCTGCACTAGGATACAGCTTTTCTGCATCTGATGACTTGAGCTCTGGTGATAACTCGGATATTATAACTAGGTGATCTCTTACACCTTCTAGCTTTTCTTAGGCTTTGATTTCCTGAGAACCATGTTAGTTATGTCTTCTCTAAGTCCATACACTAAACTCATTGGCAGAGGGAAAAAATAGAAGCAATATTGAAGTTGGTCATCCACAATCATCATTTCATCTGCCCATTCTCTGCATCAGCCCCCTTCCAAAAATTTTTAAAATCCCCCCCCTTTTTTTTGGTGAGGCAGACACGGTTAAATGACTTACCCAAGCTCACACAGCTAGTAAATGTCTGAGGCTGGATTTGAACCCAGGTCCTCCTGACTCCAGCCACTGCGCCACCCAGCGGCTCCCTACAAAAAGAAAGTCCCTTTTTGTTGTCCATAGTAATCCTTGCCAACCTCAGCTCCCCGTGTACTAAACGCTTCCAAGAGATTCTTACGGCCACTTCCACTTCAATTCTGAGCACTCATCACCATATCCTCCTAATTTGTCTCTCCGATTCTGATTTCTCCCCTCTCCAATTCATCCTCCACATACCCACCAAATCAATACTCCTAACGCAAAGAACTGACCATGTTACTCCCTTGCTCAAGAAGATTCTGTGGTTCCCTATCGCCTCTAGGAACAAACTCAAGCTCTTCTGTTCACTGTTGAAAGCCCTTCCCGAGTTGCCTCCAGTCTACCTGCCCAGACTAAGCAAACTCCTGAGTTCTGCCAGACTGTCCTATTCGTTTATCCCCTCTGCATGGCATTTCATCTCTCATCTCAACGCCTTGGGACAAGCTGTCCCTCGTGCCTGGAGCGCTCTCCACACTCACCTATGATTTTCGACTGTCTAGCTCACTTCAAAGTTCAGCCTAAGAAGCATTGCCTAAATACTCCTTATTATACCCTAAGGGTCTCCCTCTTTTTCACGTTTACTTTATGTGTATGCATTATTTCCTCCAATAGAACATAAACTCCTTGAGGGTAAAGATGGTTTCATTTGTGTCTCTGTTCCTCCAATGCCTAGCCCAGTGTCTGTCCTGACCCCAGGTATATGCTCAATAAATGCTCATTGAATGAATACAGCGCCATCCCACACTTGTGGATTCAGTATATGACTCGAAAATATTGCTTAATGAGTTCTCTGGGTGCCTACCTCAGTCTCTTTAGACCACTCTCCCTCTGTCCTCCAGGGAATTATTTCTCTTTGTACCTTTGGAATTTCACAGTTTTATCCTTCTCCTGGGCTGAATTCCGTGGGAGAAATTTTAGCGTTTTTGATTCTGCCTATCCTTTTCTCTGGTCTCTTCAAATTCTGCTCTCTGGAAACTGAGGCTGCCGCTTTTGCTGGCTTCCTTCTCCTTAACCTCCCGTTCCAAGATGGGAATCCCCAAACTTCCTAGTACCTTTCTTTGTTGATAAACTCCCCATCTGTTGGCCCCAACTTCAGAAGGTTATTATAATTATCATTAATTAATTATCATTAATATAAAATTATCATTAAAGTGGGCCAAGAAATTCTTACCTGCCTTGCTTTTGGTGGAGGGAGAACTCTAATCAATACTGGATCATTGAAGCACCCCTCCGTATGCCTCCGTGCTAGCCAGACTAGCACCTTGCTAATTACACAGCTGCTGCAGGGTGTTTTGAAAAATACAAATGTAGTTCACTCTCAGCAGGTCATTGCAAAATATCCCTTGTCCTTCATACCTGCTAGAAGCCAAATGGACAGGAAACGTGTTTTTGCAATTATTTTGATCTTCATGTAGTAGGCACTTCATAAATGCTTGTTGATTGACAAATCATTTGTTTTCTTTTTCAGAGGTTTTCAGAGGTACCAGCTAGGTGGTACGGCCAGGAGTCAGGAAGACTAGAGCTCAAATCCAGCCTCAGACACTTACTAGCTGGGTAATCCTGGGCAAGTAATTTAACTTTCATTTGCCTCAGCTTCCTCAGCTGCAAAATAGGGATAATAACAGTACCCACCTCCTGGGGTTTCAATGAGGAGCAAATGAGATAACTCTAAAGCACTTAGCACAGTGTCTGGCACATAGTAAATGTATACAGCTATTACCCTCATGTTCAACTGTCTACTTATATGCACAAGAATATACATCAAACTGATCCGTCTCCTGAACTCATGTATATCTTCCCTGTGTTCATGGGTCTGTCGTATACTCTATGGTAAATTTTGTTAATGCTTCTCCCTCTATTGCCTTTCACCCAAATACCCTCTTCCATGCTTACCCTTCTCATATTCCTGGATTTCCTCAGGTTCATATTTCTTAATATACAATGCTACTCTACTGCCTTTTTATTATTTATGATCTTTTTGAAGATGATATACTCTTTCAGGGCCATATTTCTCTAGGTCTCATTGATGCTAATGGGATCAATTTGCTTCATTGCATTGGGACCTCTAGCTCATTACCCGGCTTGTTACACTTATTTTGTATTTGTGTGTAGACATCTGAGGCCATTATAGGGTTCACTGGTTGTTCCTACACCTACGTAGGAATGAAGATACAAAGAGGAGGTAGTCCAACTCCAGACACCGCCTTGCCCAGGAGACCAAGGGCTCATTCACTAGCCTGGTGGGGGAAGGGCACTTATCTCTCCAAGGGCAGAAGCTCAACTTTCCTACACTCAGTGGCATTCTGGTAAATATTTAACAACCTTCTGTCCAGAAAAAAAAAGTATACATACTTTTAAGTTTAATCTGCATTAACATTTTTTCCTCACTTTCTTAAGTCTAGACAATCAACAGAGCAATGAATCAAGCCCTGATTGTCAGTTTGCCAATTTCTGAGGTGGAAATGCTCACCCTGAAAATTTAACCACAAGCTGACTCCAGCACACCTCAAAACCAGCAGAGAGCAAAGGTGTGAGAGGCTGGGTTTTCCCGTTTAGTATCTTCAAGGTCAGCAGCTAATTAAAAGTATCCTTAAAGAAGATAGGAAATAATCTAAGGATGTCTGCACCTGCTCTGAAGTGGCGGGGAAGGAATGGCCCCTCTAGCATTCAGTGCTACTCACACCTTCGAATTAAATATGTGTATGAACATATATACATTTTAATGTATACATAGTGTATAGAAATTGTTTTGTAAACCTTAAAAACCCTATCAAAAGGTGAGCTACTAACAACCTGGATAAGAGGCACTGTGGTGTCATGGCTAGAGATTTAGCTTTGGAGCCAGAAAGACCTGAGTTCAAATACTACCTGAGTCAAGGTGATTTCCACCTCCACCCCCCATTTGGGGAGGGCCCTCATCCCTGCTACACAGCTTTTACATTAGGGAGGGGTTCCCTTCCTCTTTTCTATGGTATTATTTCACCCTCCAAGCTTTTGTTACTGGTGAGAATTTACCTTTTCTTACTTTCCACTTCTTATGCCCTTTGAGTCTTACCAAAAATACTTCATCCCCCGTGATAACCTGAAGAGCAGAAATGCATTCCTCCCCTAGGGTAGAGATCCAAGGCAGTAAAGTTGCACCTTCTTTACCTACAGAGCTACTGAGGGGCATTCAGGGAAGCAGAAATCTAGCCCACTCACCGCAGGTCACTGAAAAATCTCCCTTGCCCTTCGGTCCTAAGTGAAGACAAATTCATAGACAGTCGTCTTCTTTTTAGGGAGCTCTCCTGGCATAGCCTCATGGCTAATGTATAGGGTAACCATCTTGTTTGTGAGCTGGAGAAGCAAACTTGGGAAAGGCAGTGTGGTCCAGTAAAACCAGGACTCAGCTCCTCCTCGAGGCATCTATTACTTGTATGACCTTGAGTCACAACCTTTCTGGGCTTCAGTTTGTCATCTATAAAATGCGGAGGTTGGACTTTATGGCTTCTAAGGATCCTTCTGTCTCTGAATTTAGAATCTAGCATCCCATGGGATCCACACATTGCCTAACCTCGCTAGTGCTGCTGATCTCCTGATTCTTCCTATGATTGCCCTGGACACTGAACTCTCTGCCCATCTGTGTATGTGCTGGGGTGGAGGGGGATAGATAAAAAGTTAAGTGAACAGACAGGACAGGGCGAAAGTAAACTGTCTAATGAAATCTGCCCGCTTTGTTTTACCTGTCCCACTAAATCCCACCTTCTAATTAATTTATTTTGATTTATCAACCATCACTCCCATATGCTTTTGAGTTTAAAATGTTCTCTTCCTCCCTACTACCCTCCCCAAGACAGTGCACAATCTGATATAGGCTATACATATACATTCCTATAAATCCTACCTTCTAAAGGAAGTCTTTCCCTTTCTCTTAATTCTCTTTCCATCCCTCTGTTGATTATTTGCTATTTACCCTGTCTATAGCTTGTTTGAATATATTTGTTTGCTTGTTGTCTCCCTCTTTAGATTGTAAACTCCTTGAGGGCAGGGACTGTCTTTTGCCTCTTTTTGTATCCCCAGCCTTTAGCACAGTGCCCTGCACACAGTAGGTGCTTAATAAATGTTTCTTGACTGACTTCTCTCTACCCTCCGGACATAATAGCTTTTGATCCTTTTTTCTAGGTTGTTGGTTGGGTTGGGTTTGTCAGTAAGTAATCCTGTGACTTTTTCTTTCATCACTCTCAAGTATTGACTTGGCTTTCCATTAGCATAAATCACCCGAGGTCAATAAATTGTTGATCATAGCCCTGGACCAGTCAAGTGATGATTTTAATTATTTGTTATCCCTACACTTATGGCAGAAGTTGACTGGTGGCTGTGGACACAGGAGCAATGGAGGATGTCGGCTAAAGAGCCACATGTTACTTCTTTCTCTGGAGATGTCTGGATTTATTTCTAACCAACAAATATTAATTAAACATCTACTGTGCACCAGGAGCTCTGGTAGGCCCAGGGATACAAAGACTCAAAAAAGAAACAGGAGCTGTCCCCAAGGACGTTGATTACAAAGCAAGCTTGGAGGTGAAGACCTGAGTTCAGATCTAGTCTCGGACACCAGCTGTGTAACCCTAGGCAAGTCACTTACACTCTGTGTGCCTTGATTTCCTCTTCTGTAAATTGGGGAAAACAATGGCATCTAGCTCCCAGGGTTATTGAGAGGCTCAATAATAATAATAATGAGCAGTAATACATCACTTACTGTGTTCCAGGCACTGTCAAAGCGCTTTACAAATATTATCTCATTTTATCTTTGCAATGACCTTGGGAGGTAACTGCTACTACAATCCCCATTTTACAGTTCAGGAAATCAAGGCAGACAGAGGTTAAGTGACTTGTTCAAGATCATACTGGCGGTAAATGTTTGAAGTTGGATTTGAACTCAGGTCTTCCTGACCCCAGGCCCAGTACTCTATTCGCTGTACCACCTAGCTGCCTATTAATGACATTAATATCAATAATAATTGAGATTAACCACCTCTAGATATCAAGCTAGTCAACTATTTCTCTTCCTTATCTTTTTTCTTCTTTTTTCCTCCCTCCCTCCTTCCTTCCTTCCTGTGTGGGATGCCACTCAAATTAAAAAAACACAGAGGTATCCAAGGAGAAACAGAAAATTAATTTTTATTTGCTATTCTTGAGAATAGGGTGTCCCTCCACCAGAATGTTCTGATGAGGGGAGACAGAGACAGAAACAAAGAACCAGATTAAATAGCCCTAATGGGCAAATCCCCCCTCCCACCAACTGTCCATTACTCGAAACTCTACCATAGAACAAAGGAAATAGTATACATCTCTATATTTCTCAGTTTGCTGAGATAATGTCAAAGAAGCAATTAAAAATGTGCAGTCAAACTAGATGTTAGCCAGGTCACCATGACAGAAATACAGCTTACAAACGTAACAACTAAACAGACTTTAACTACTGATACATGTTGTACTGTGAAGCCGGCACCATGACAGAAAGATAGTTTACAAATGTAACAGCTAAGTGCAGGGAAGGTTTCAAACTTTAGCTACTGATATGGCACTAAAAAAAAAACTTACAGAAATCTATATCCTACCTCCTGATCTTATTACCAGATTTAGAATAGTCTCATCCCAAATTTTAGTTACACTGAGAAGCCTTCACTGGGACATCCCATTCATTCCTTTCCTTCTTTCTTTCCTTCTTTCCTTCTTTCTTTCCTTCTTTCCTTCTTTCCTTCTTTCTTCTTTCTTTCTTTCTTTCTTTCTTTCTTTCTTTCTTTCTTTCTTTCTTTCTTTCTTTCTTTCTTTCTTTCTTTCTTTCTTCCTTCCTTCCTCTCTCTTTCTTTCTTTCTTTTTCTTTCTTTCTCACGGCTAATTTGAACATTTGTTGTATGTGTGTGTGTGTGTGTTTGTATTTGTAATGGATTATGTTTTTCTTGCCTTCTCCATGGGTGTGGGAGGGGGAAAGGAAGGGAAATAATTTGCAACTGAAAACAAAACTGAATTTTAAAAAATAATAATGGTATTAAACGAGATAATATATGTAATGTGTTTTGCAAACCTTAAAGTGCTATATAACTAGCTATTATTATTGTGAGAAAACATTACAAAGTAATTTAAGACCAAAAACTTTCACTAATACTATTGAGTCATTTTTCAGTCACGTCTGACTCTTTGTGACCCCTTTTAAGGTTTTCTTGGCAGAGGTACTGGCGTGGTTTACCATTTCCTTCTCTGGCTCATTTTGTAGATGAGGAAACTGAGGCCAACAGGGTGAAGTGACTTGTCTGGGGTCACACAGCTAGTAAATGTCTGAGGCTGGATTTGAACGCAAGAAGATGAGTCTTCTGACTTCAGGCTGGGCAACCGTACCACCTACCTGCCCATCAGGAAAC